CACTACCCGTTCCTGCTATTGATGAGGAAGACCCATTAGCTGTACTTACTATTTCATTCCCAACACTAGAAATATAGGTATTGAATAGTTTAGCATCTGAGGTCATATGATCAGTTGCCCCAGTATCAACAATCCATTTGGGGTTGCTATTAGAAGTAAGTAAGGTACATTTACCTTTGTGAGCCACAGATGCAGTAAGATTCAGTTTCTGGTTCTTCTCATTCCTCTGCAACACACTAAGCATCTCAAGTAGCTTACCTAGTTGTTCCTTATCAATTTCAGGTATTGAGTCTAGTTTATCTGGCCATACATCATGAGAAGTTTGATAACTTCGTTGCTTGCCTTTCTTTGGCTTCTAATTAGCTGGCTTTCCATGTATATCCCAACAAGTGTCACGGGTATGCCCAATCTTCTTGCAATGTTCACAAGTGACCTTTCCCTTTTGGTTCTTATGACTTGAATCACTGCCCTTGCTCACAAGTGCAGCAGTGTCTAAGGAAGAAGTTGGGGTAGAAATAGCTCCAGGAGTCATTACCTTGCATCTTGAAGCCTCCCGATGTACCTCTGAGAATACTTCTCTAGTGGATGGAAGTGGTATACGGCTTAGAACTCGCCCCCGAACATCATCTAAAGATTGATTCAGTCCTGTAAGAAACTGAAATACCCGTTCATTTTCTACTTGCTCCTTATAACGGATTACATCGTTACTGCTGGACCATTCTACTTTTGTCATCAAGTCTAATTCTTGCCAGATGGTATTCAGCTCTAGCCAAAAAGTCGTGACCTCATGTTCTCCCTACTGCAGTGACCATGCCTTTGTTTTAAGCTCATATATTCATGCCAAATCCTTCCCATCAGAGTCTGAATCTCGCACAGCTTTCTAGATTTCATGAGCTGATGAAAGAAATATGAAACTCTGTTGAATTTTTGGAATCATGGCATTGATCAGCCATGATGATACCAATAAATTTTCAGTATGCCATCGCTGTAGCTCCTGTGTTCTGGATTCTTCTGGAGTTTTTGATGAGCCATCAAGGTAACCCATTTTCCCTTGGCCTCCAATCGCAAGCTACATAGCCTATGCCCACGTGATAATTTGAGCCATTAAGTTTTATAGTAACCACAGGCACCGATGATCCATCATAACTAGTGATCGACCCGAGGGGACCACCGGCCTTGTCTGGATTGATTTGCAAGGACCTATCACTCTTCAACATTAGAGAAGTATGAATCGAGTGCAACTCTTGTGTCTCGTCCTCGATGCTTTCTGTCTCAAAGTTTTTGGCATCTATGTTTGCTAGAAGCTCTGCTACCATATAGTAAATAGGCTGAAAAACTCTTATTACATAATCCCAAGGTAAGTACACCGATTTATACATGAGAGAAGACAATCAAATCTCCAAGAAATAAGGAGATTGAATCAGGAGAGGATATTCAGGAATAAATTATCTACAAAATTCCTACTTTTACTACCCACAATATCTCCTTTAATAATAAACAATATTTACATTAAATATAATAAAATATGGTCAACCACAAATACTCTCTTGCTTTCTTCAAAAAAAAGGACAATAATCTGAATAGTGAAAGAGCAGCCCTAGAATTTTATTTGTTGTGGCCCTACAATAACAAACAAGCTCATGTGAAGATGTTGTTTGACTCATTAGAGAATTGAAAAATCACTTCAATCATAAAGAAAAAGGGCCTTACAAAAGCAGAGGGAGAAACATGACCACAAATTTTATTAAAAATCTTACTAGTGGCCATTACTTCACAAAATTTACAAAATATCCATTGATAAACTTCTAGACTTCTAGTTTTACTTTTATAAATGAAATGTCACTTAGGATTTCATCCAGAGGCTGCATAAAAATCTATAAATAACATAATGGACCATATAAAATTAATATAATTGCTAGTTTTACAAGTTTTTACGTCCATATATGTTTATAAATATGAGATAATATTATTGATGATGGAAACAGAAGTGATGCTAGCTCTTCCCTAATAAATTGTAATTTTGCTTTGAGAAAAAGATAAAATACAATCATTTTTATTATAGGATTTGTATGAAATGTAGATCCATTTTAAAGTATCAAATAAAAATGTTTTGCTAAATCTTGTTGAGGGTTTCCTAGGATCTACTTGCACTTTTCTACAGAAGGCTTTGGCGCTTGGAAGCAAATCCCTTAATGGAATTTTATTAGAACTAAAAATACAATTACGTATTTCCATAATGTTGCCATAAGTTAAGAATATAAATTCAATAAGCCAAAATTGAAAGTTCAATGCCTTTAGTAGCCAAACTGAGGATTCGTGAGTTTCTTCTTCGTATGTACATTTTTTCTTTCCCAAGTAGGGAAAAGAAGGAAGGGAAATAATCTTTACAAAAATGTATTATCAACTCATCTATGTTAGTCTAATTTCTAAGCAAGTTAGCAGCTGTTGAAGCTGAAGGTAATGTTGAGGAAGACATCTTCAGTGCAAGGAATTGTAGGGCCACCTATTGGTGATCAAACCCAAATTCTTCCTCAACTTGACTTAGCAACTCTTGAAATGAAGGCTAGTTCAAGTATGATATAGGGATCAAGAATCTCTTCATTTCCTCTTCAACATACATGGCAAGATATCCCTTAACCACTACGCTGGATTTTGAAGAGGAAGCCTTCCTGATTCTAGGTAAACGGAAACCCATTGTTGCAATATGTCAAAGAAGAGAACAAGAAGTAAGTGCTTGAATTTGGATGCTAGAAGATATAGTGAAAGATTTGTGTTGCTTCCAAATGTTTGCAAGGATGAGTATATATAGATGAAAGGATTTTTGTTGCTTGAGTGATTGTGAAGGGAGGGGCTATGTGATAGGGCCTTTAAAGAAGACAAGGCCTCATGAGAGGTCACATGGTGTTGTCTTGAGAGGTCTTTGCAATGATCACCAGTATGCCCCACCTTATTGAGGAGTAATATTTTCTGTTTTAGCACAGTACTAGCATACCCGTGGAATTATTGAGCTGGCTGGATTGTGACTACAATTTGGAGTTTGTATGGTCGAGAAATTGCTGGTGAAGAGTTAGCCAAACCAGTGAGAAGGGTCATGTGATGATGTCTTAAATGACCTTTTGTCTCTCTAATGTTTTTCATTGGTGTCATATTAATTTCAATACATGCTTAAGACATCTCACGTCTTTGTTTTATCTTGATCAAGCAAACTGATGTAGCGTCTTCCAACAACACTCATGACATTGAACTTTTTTATGATTTCTTCTGTCAGAAGGTATGGATAAACCTTGTTTCCTGAAATGAAGTTAGGGAAGTTATGCATTATAAATAACTCGTACAAGAAGAAAATACTCTTTGTAAGCTTAAATAAGCCTATGCAATGAATTGGAAGAATGGATTTCTTACCCTTATTTAAATGTTCCTTTTAATTCATGCTCCGCTAGTTTGTTTGATCAAAACACATCTTGTAAGAGACCGTTTCGTGTAGATGAACTACCATGGAACATGCTTTTCCCCTAAAACCATACATTAGCTTGGATATTATAAGGTTTTCATTGAATCCTTGTAGGCTAGTTCCATGAGATTTGGAATTAAATTTGTTACCTCACAATTTTTTAAATTAATGATTGTCTTAGAAACATAATTGAAGGAAGGTAATAGATCAATGAATCTATGGATGAGGATACTCCTTTTTCTTCAAAAATGGGCAACATATTTAATATTAGGGTTAAGGGGCAAAAATGCTCAGTAACTTTTTTTCCAAAAAGACCTAGTATCTTTAAGTGAACAATGGTACAGGAGTACCCAATGAACTTATTTTAATGAGTGCAATCCTTCACAAATTGTGAAAAATGCCAAATGTTCGATAGTTTTGTAGAGTAAGTCTTGCACTTATGATCCATTTCGAGACTAGCGAATGTTTGGCATTTTTCATGTTTTGGAAAAGGTTATACTCATTAAAACAAATTCATGGGTATTCCTGTGCCATTATTTATTTTGGGCAACATCATTAATATTGAGGTTAAGAGGCAAAAATGCTAGTAACTTTTTTTCTAAAAACACCCAGTATCTTTAAGTAAACAATAGTGTAGGAGTACTCATAAACTTGTTTTAATGAATGCAATCCTTCACAGACTGTGAAAAATGCCAAATGTCCGGCAGTTTTGTAGAGTAAGTCCCGCAATTATGGTCCATTTTGAGACTAACAAATGCTTGGCATTTTTCATATTTTGAAGAAGGTTGCACTCATTAAAACATATTTATGGGTATTCTTGCGCCATTATTTATTTCTGGATATTGGGTATTTTCAGAGAAAAAGTTACTAGGATTTTTGTCCCTTAACCCTTAATATTGGTAAAGCAGAAACCATAGCTTCATTTGTTGTGGCACCTAGAAAAACAAGCAAGCTCATGTGAAGATGCTGTAATATTAGATCTATTGTGTTGCTACTAAAAATCAAATGAACCTCATATTTTAGACGAAATCTAACACAATAAGTGGCTGTTTACAAACATCTTGTCTTACTTTTATGGATGAAATGTGATCTCACGTCAAAAAGGACTTACTCCAGTGGCCACAACGTATCCGAAAGCATGGCCCCAAAAAAAAATCTAGAAATAACAAAGTGGACCATGTGAAATCAATATAGCTGATAGTTTTGAAAGTTCCTACGTTCACATGTTTTTGGTAAATTTGATAATATTAATGAAGACGAAAACAAAACTGATTTTGGTTCTTCCCTCCTTAAATATAAGTACAGTTCTGAGAAATAAAGTACAGTTATCTTTATCGTGGTATCGATTATGAAATGTAAATTTTCTTATTGAATCTGTAATAGAAATGTTTTGTACTTTTGCTCATTCAAGAAGGCATTTTAAAGGACCAAAGGATATAATTCTTTTTCCCTCACAATTTCACTGCAAGCTAAGAATATAAATTCAATAAGCCAAGATTGAAAGTTCAATGCCTTAGTAACCAAGCTAAGAATTCATGAATGTCTCCTTCATTATGTACAATTTTCCTTCCCAAGTAGGGAAAAGAGGAAAGAGAAATGATCTTTACAAAACTGTATCGTTGACTTATCTTTGTTAATCTAATTTATCTCCAAGCCAACACCCGTTGAAGTTAGAACTTAGAAGTGATATCCAAGAAGACATTTTCTGAGCAGCGAATGGTGAGGCCACCCATTGGATGATCAAACCCAAATTCTTCCTCAGCTTTACTCAGCAACTCTTGAAATGAAGGCTTGTTCAAGTACGATACGGGGATCACAAACCTTTTCATTTTTTCTCCAACATACACTGCAAGGTATCCCTTTGGAAATTCTCCTGATTTTAAAGATGAAGCTCTTCTAATTCCAGGTAAGCGAAAACCCATTGTTGTAATGTGCCAGAAGAGAACAAGAAACAAGTGTTTGTGGATAGTGTAAAAGAATTGTACGTGTTGCCTCCAAAACCATGGAAGCAATAGTATATATAGAAGAATGGATTTGTGTTACTTGAACAATTGGCGGAGGGAGGGACAATGTGAAGGGGCATAGAGGAAGAGACAAGGCCTTGTTGGAGGTCACATGGTGTTGTCTTTTGAAGTCCTTTTCAAGGATCAACAATATGCCCAACCTTCTTGAGGCCTAATATTTTCTGCTTCAGCGATAAACCACATAACCCTTTGCATTATTCATATGCTTAATAGAGGTATCTCACATTATTTTGTTTTCCCGACAAAGAGATATATAGGGGAAACTTGTGGTGTTCATGAGATGTTTGATTGAAGTCCGGTGCTTCTTCTTATTAAACAAGTCGTCATCGTTTATAGTCGATGCTAACAGTAAAAGCTGGAATAATATGTGTTATTGTTTTCATTGTATGTATGTATGTCATCAAACCCCTGCTTTTCTTTTCTTTTTTCCTTTTTATTTTTTAGAATCTGAAAGTAATAGTATTCATCTATAGCTTGGATAGCATGGAAGTAAGATGAATTCCCTCGGTGCTATGGAAAAATTAGTTTATGCTTCCTGTTATGATTTGGTTTGGTTTGTGATAATTAACTCATAAGCTCAAGTTAAATATGTTGTCTATCAAATGGTATGTGAATGTTCTTCAGTAGTTTTAGTATGTAATTATAATTATTAATTTCAAGTTCTTTTAACTTACATTTCACTTGAATATCCAGTCAATAAATAATCCATAAGCGTATTATGTTTTCTTTATCTTTTCAATTTTCATTAAAAAAAAAAGACACCTTTAACAGTTGTATTTTGAGATATAAATAAAACATGGTTATTAGCCTTCCAATTCTCTCTGTCATGTTTGATCAACAATGTTTAACTCTGATGGTCTCAATTCTTCCTACTCAAGAAGTCGAGATTGTTCATGAATTTGAATTTATTAATCTATATATGATCTTCATTAGTCTGGGACAAAAGAAATGATCAATAAAGAAAAGTTAACTTCCTCTCTAGATCGTCTCTAAGGTATGAATTTGATCCTCATTCCATAAATAGGTCCATCAAAAATGATTTTACAGTCAATTTTAGGCCATTAAAAATGAAAGACAATCAAACTAACACTGAGATAAACAAAAGGCCGAAGACAATGTCATGAAGAGAATCAATCTAGTAGCAGAAAAATCTATTCATTAATTTCTGTAGATGAATACATCTCTCTATTTCTCAGGGAGGGACCAAAAAGAATGAGAAGAAAGATTTACAATATTGTGAGACCTTTTTAGATTTCATATTCTTGGTCTCTTTATGACCTATACAAGCAGGAAGTGAGATCTAGGAAGATATCTTCAGCACGAGGAATTGTGAGGCCACCCATTGGATTGATCAAAACCAAAATCTTCTTCAGCTTGACTCAACAATTCCTGAAATGAAGGATGGTTCAAGTATGATATTGGAATCACAAAACGCTTCTTTTGGTTCTCACCTACATGCACTGCAACACAGCCCTTTGGGACATCCCCATACCTTTGAATACCAGGAAAACAAAAAGCCCATTTTCTTGAAGTTCTATTTGGTGAAGCAGAAGAGATCAGTAATTTCAAAGCACTTATTTTTAAGAGAGTATTTGATGCTTCAAAAATGTCAAGGACTTGACTTGCTTGTGCCTGTAAACCATGACTCTATATATACAGGTGAAGAGAGGACTTTCAAAAATCCATTTGGTTGAGAAATTATTGATGTAGGTTAGCCAAAGGGAGTCTAGTTTAAAGAGAAAGGTGAGAAGGATCATGTGATGATGTCTTAAATGTCTTTGTCAAATATCAAGAAGTATCCTATGAATTGTTCAATTCAAAACCTAATGTCTATCTAATGTTATTTATCATCATTTTCATTGTAATTTATAGACATGCTTAAGCCATCTCATGTCTTTCTTTTATATTGATCACACAAACTCATAGCATGTTCCAGTAGCATTTAATCGAAGCTAAGTAATTGTTGGCATGCTTTTAAATTGAAAAATTGGAACCTTTTTTTTTAAATTAATTTGCAAGAAATAAACTTCATCAAGTTAGGGGAATTTGCTTGGATTATTCTTAGGTGTAACTGGATAATGAAAATGAAATTTGGTGGCTTTAAAAAAAATTAGAAAATTTTCTGATATTGAGGAGAACAACAAAATTTTTGTTGTAATTAATGAAACATGTTCTACTATTAGCTAATCTGGAACAATTAAATAACGAAAATGAATAGGCAATTTTTTATTAACATTAGAAGTATTTATGGATAATGATACTCTCTTTGGTTTCCTCAAAAAATGAGAAATGTCTTCAATATTGAAGTATAGTGGACAACATAGCATCATATGTTGTGGCCTTATAACAAGAAGCAGGCTCATGTGAAGATGCCGCTAAACTAATTATAGAATTGAAGAACGGCTTTTATCATGAAGAAATGGGACCTTGTATAAGCAGGGAGGGAACACCAAAGAGAAGTCCATGTTATATTGGATCTGTGGTGCTGAATCTGATAACAGAAACCAGATCAAATTCATATTTTATATGAAATCTGACACCAAGTGGCTGTGACTTGCCCAAGTTTGTAGAACATCAAGTCTTACTTTTGCGGCTTGATTTTGATCTCATGTCAAAAAGGACTTGGTTCAGTGGCCACAATGTATCAAAGAGGCTGGTCCGAAGAAATCTATATATAACAAAATGGACCATAAAAAATTAATATACTTGCTAGTTTTACAAGTTCTTGCATTCACATATTTTCGTTAAATTTGAGACAATATCAAGGAAGATGGAAAAAGAAATGATGCTTGCTCTTCCATCATGAAATAAATGTAGTTATTTGAGAAAAACAAAATTATGAAATGTGGATTTGTTTACTGAGTCTCATGTAAATAAAATGTTTCATTAACTTAGCGTGAGCGTTTCCAGGATATCCTTGCATTTTTCTGCAGAAACCTACCATGCCCCCAAGACAATTCAAGATTAGTTTTCTTAGACCAAATGATATAATTCTTTGCTCCTCAATTAGCAACAAAATAAGAATATAAATTCAATGATATAAAATTGAAAGCTGAATTTTGGAAGTAGTTTCTTTGGCATTTTAGAATCTATCCTTATGGTTGTTCTGTATATGCAGGGTAGTTGCTATATTTGACGTTCATATAAAAACAAAACAAAAAAAAAAAAAGGAAATTGAAAGTTGAATGCCTTTAACAACTAAAATGGGAATTCATGAATTTCTTATTCCTATGAACAATTTTTCACTTCCATAAGAAAGAGAAATGATCTTTACAAAATTGTATTGTTGACTCATCTATGTTAGTCTTATTTTCTCTTCATGTCAGCAACCTTAGAATCTAGAAGTAATGTCCAAGAAGACATCTGCTGTGCAAGGAATTGTGAGGCCACCCATTGGATGATTAAATCCAAATTCTTCCTCAGCTCGACTTAGCAACTCTTGAAATGAGGGTTGGTCCAAATACGATAGAGGGATCACAAATCTCTTTGTTTTCTCTTCAACGTGCACTGCAAGATACCCTTTTGGCACTTCACCAGATTTTGAAGATGAAGCCCTTCTAATTCCAGGCAAACGAAAACCCATTGTTTTAATGTGTTAAAGAGAACAAGAAACAAATATTTGAATTTGGATGTGGCTGAGGATGTTGTGAGAGATTTGTGTTGCTTCTGAAGGCATGCAAGATGATATATATAGATGAATGGATTTGTGTTCTTTGAATAATTGGAGAGAGGGACTATGTGATAGGGTCTAGAGGGAGAGACAAGGCCTCATGACAGATCACATGGTGTTGTCTTAAGAGGTCTTTTTCATGGATCAACAATGTCCCCCCTTCTTCCCTAAGGCCTAATTTAATCTGTTCGAGCTCTGTACCACCTGACCGATTGCATTACTGATAATCTTAGTCAAGATATCTCACATTATATTTTCCTTTTTATTTTTTTGTCTCAAACAAAAAATATAGGACAACTTGTTGTACACAGGAAATGTTTGATTGAAGACCTGTGTTGTCATCTTAATCAACAAACTGTCACGTTATAGTGTATGGCAACTTTGCAAACTACAGTACTGTGTGCTTTTTTTTTCATTATTTTTATATTAAGCTCTTTCTTTTCCTTTTTCTTTAACGTAATCTCAAACCAATAGTATTCATCTTATTACTAACATGAATGGAAGTATGACGAGTTCTTCAATACTAGGGAAAAGCTACTTCATGCTTCCTTGATGATTTAGTTTGATATAGTTCCTTATTTTCTCGTTAAATACGTTTGTCTATGAAAGATGGTAAGAGATTGTTCTTCAGAGTTTCCACTAGTTATTAATGCTAAGTTCTTTAACTTACATTTCACTAAAATCTAATCAATAAATATTTTGTTAGTTTTCTGTAGCAAGTATGACAAAACTAGCATTCTGATATCTTTATTTTAAATGTCTCTCAAAAATTAGATGCCTTCCAGTGTTGCATTTTGCCACACACACACGCGTATAAAACGTTGTTACTAGGCTTTCGATTCTCTTCCTGCTGTAATTAACAATGTTTTGATTAGATGATCTCGTAATTCAAACTTCCTAACAAGTTGAGAATTAATTCGTAAATTTGGACTAACTTATCTGTATTTGGTCTCCATCATCAGTCTAGGACGAAAGGAAAAATAATTAAAGGTTAACTTCCTCTGTAGATTATCTATGAGGTTTTAAATTCGATCCTTACTCCATAGGTAGGTCCATGTACTATGATCCTTCAGTCAATTTTAGTCCATACAAAATGAATGACAATCCAACTAGCTATGATATAAATAAAAGGCCAGTGAACATTTCATGAAGGGAATCAAACTAATAACAGGAAAAAAAAATCTGTTGATTGATTTCTGTATATGAATACATCTTCTATTTCCCTGGGAGGGACAAGAAAGAATGAGGAGAAAGATTTACAATATTGTGAGACCTTGTTAGATTTCATATTCTCGATCTCTTTATGAGCTATACAAGGCGGGAAGTGAGATCCAGGAAGATATCTTCAGCACAAGAAATTGTGAGGCCACCCATTGGATGATCAAAACCAAATTCTTCTTCAGCTTAACTCAATAATTCGTGAAATGAAGGATCGTTCAAGTATGATATTGGAATCACAAACCGCTTCTTTTGGTTCTCACCTACATACACTGCAACGCAGCCCTTTGGGACATCCACACCCCTTCGAAAACTGGGAAAAAGAAAGCCCACTGTGATGAATTTCTATTTGGTGAAGTAGAAGAGATCAGTAATTTCAAAGGACTTGATTTTAGAGACTATTTAATGCTCCAAAAATTTGAAGGACTTGATTTTCTCGTGAATCCACACTATGACTCTATATAGTTGAAGAGATGACATCAGAAACCCATGTGGTAGAGAAATTATTGATGATGGATTAGCAAAATGGCATTTGGTTCATAGACAAAGGTGAGAAGGATCATGTGATGATGTCTCAATTGTCTTTGTCAAATATCAAGAAGGATCATATGAATTGTTCAATTCATAGCCTATTGATATCTATCTCATGTTTATCATCGTTCTCATTTTAAATTTTAACATGCTTAAGGCATCTCATATCTTCCCCTTATCTTGATCACACAAATTCATATAGCATGTTCCAGCAGCATTTAATTGAAGCTAAGTAATTGTTGATTTGCTTTTAAATTAAAAAATTGGAGGCTTTTTTTAAGTTCATTTTTTTAAGCTCAGGTTAATAAATGTTCAGAAATGTTAGCTTCTTAAGGGGATTTAGCTTGGCTTATACTTAGGTGCAACTAAATACTGAGAACGAAATTAGATTACTTGATTAAAATTGGAATTTTTTCTCATGTTGGAGAGAATGACAAATTTTGTTGCAATTAGTGAAGTTGTTGGTGGAAGCATGCTTGCTAAAACTGTTAACTATGTGCTCTGGTTTTCATACAAACAAAATGCATCCCGCTCTTTGCCATTATTTCTTTGCAACTTTTTTTTATCACTATTTCTATGCAATATTTAACAGAAACACTGGAATTAATACTGCAGAATAGTTAGGCCAAAAAAACTACTGAATAGTTTCTTTAATTTGTATGTAAGATTATACTTAATAGTGTTGTATGGGAATGCTCCTTTTTAAATGAAAACCATGCCTCTATGTTCAAAGTAAAGCTTTCTTCAAAATCTATCTTTGCTCTCTTCTGATTTCCACCGGATTGGCCATAGATGCACATAAGAAAGTGAAACAGATCGAGCAGAATAACTATTAGAACAGGTTTTTCTTTTTAGGCCCACAGAGAACTCTTGAGTTTGTTTTTAAAGATTCAAATGTATTAAATTTTCAGTTCTATATTCTTTGTTGAATTTAGGAATTCGATGAAAATTACAGACAAGCTTTGAACATCAAAATTGCAAAGTTATGAAAGAAAGCAAACTTTCTGGTAATCAGAGGTGAATATTTGACTGGATAAAGCCTTTAATTATGAAATAGTTTGGTGGGCTAATCAGCAGAAAATTACAGTAACTCTGTTCTTGAACTTCTCAATTAGATGGAAAATTTTCCTGCCCTCAGGAGGACAAAAGGGAGGAAAGTAAAGCAAAATCTCCCTTGCTAAGTTTTGAACATTATGATTTGACCAAGACTCGTTGTTTAGATATCATTAACTGTGCTATGTTGTGCTGTTTAGATATCACGAACTGAGGTATCTCACAAACTGCATGGCTTAAGTTATTCGCTTTTGAAAACTAATCATCATGTCCGGCAAACGCACTGAAGAAAAGCATCATCCTTTCAAGTATAGTGGTGTGGGTAGCACACTAATTGCCTAGGAGAATCAAAATCTTTTCAGCAGTAAGTTACATCTTTCTGCAGGAAAGAATGTCCTCTAGAACTAGAAGCACCAGTTAGTGGCAGTAAAAGGAGATTTCGTATGCAAGGATCCTGATGAAAACCACTATCACAAAGAATTTTGTTTTCTTGGTTAGGATTCATGGAACTTAATGACTATTAGTGACTATAAAAAGTTATCATCATTACTCGAGTGACTTAGCAAAAAAGAATATAGTCAACTCTGCACCAGAAAATCTGTTACCAACGATCTTGTTTCAGAATAATTGAGGGTCCATTATCACTCTAGATGTCAGCCTTCACTTGTTATAATAGGAAAAGGCCACAAAATAATACCAGTCTAAATTCGGAGCTCCTTTGGATAAGGAAGACCAGACCAATGCGAAACCCTATTGATTTCACGCTCATACTAGCATGCTATGTCAAGGGCATGTCTAGAGTCAAAAAGTTCAAAGCAACAAGCAATAGTATTATATATCTTTTAAGCTGAACCACACTTTTCTTTTTGGATCCTAAAGATAGTGGGTCCTCGTGTTTTGGCACAAACTAGGCAAAATCATGTGAACCTACCTCAGGTCCTTCACCTGCAATGTTTCTGAGCATTCTGTAGCAAGTACTTTATGGCTTGCCTGCCTCTTTGTGCGTGTGTTTGTATATATATATAATTTGTAATGAAGAGTTCAACACAAGTCTATTAACTCTAGACTGATATTAGTTTAAGTTTCTCCACCATGAAGAAACTTCAGAAACTGCAGAGAAGCCTTTCAGCAAGAATCAAAATGGCTTCAACTAATAGCAGTGATGTCCCAAGAGGGCATTTTGCAGTGTATGTTGGGGAGAGACACAAGAGGTTTGTGATTCCTATATCGTACTTGAACCACCCTTTGTTCAGAGATTTGTTGGATTGGGCTGAAGAAGAGTTTGGGTTCAATCACCCTCTGGGAGGTCTAACCATTCCTTGCACTGAAGAATACTTCATCACCCTAACTTCATCTCTTGGTTATTCATAGACTCTGATGATTTGGTTTTTATTTGAATGATCATTCTCCAATTTAGATTATTACCACAAAGATTGGAACAAGAAAGCCAGTCTCTTCAATTCGTTTTGTACCATGTGATACAACCAACATCATCCCAAGAGGTGTCTCTTGATTGTATATAATTCATTTACCATTCTGTTGAATCATATTGATGACGTCTTTTTCTTTTCTTTTCTTTTCTTTTCTTTTTCTTTTCTTTTTGTTTTTTAGTTATGCAATGGCAAAACGTAATGCAGAGCTTCTTATCCCCTTTACCAAGCAAAATCATCGCAGACGATTATTTCTTTTAAAATATCTTTAATTATCAATTACATTTGGCTAAGTATAAGCTGTAAAGAAATAAGAAAGTGAAGTTGTTGGCTGGTTGCAGTCCACGGTGCCAGCATTTCCGATATTTTCTTATTGAGGTTTGATTTCTTCAGACAATATCAATATATATACTATATAAAATTACATTTATTTATGGATGTGCCATTGTTATAAAATAAAATCATTTTTCTTTCAAAATAATTGAATATTATTGCACGAAAAATATTTCAATTTGCGATTATAAAATTCTAAATGGATAAGTTAAGTCTGTAGTGTATCCTTGAGTTTCTAGATAAACCTTTTTTTAGGCAAAGTCAAAAAGATGTCTTTAATATCAAAAGAAAACGATAATGAAAAAAATTGAATAACACAAAGCATAACTTAATTAAAAGACAGAGACA